GACCAAAAATGCAAGGCAAGACACAATCATAAAAACCCTTCTTTGGTTTTGAATCCACATCCCTGCCCAGCGTGTTCCTGTTGACAAATACCTGGTTTTTTAAAAGGCAGTCTCTTGTCATTATATAGTATTTCCAGTTACAAACTGCCTAGAGAAAAGACTTCTACAGGCAGCCCAGCCACATGGCTGAAGTATGAAACAGGCATGCTCATGCCCAGAGTCCTTTAGTCCCACAAGCCGCAAGGTCATGGAAATCCCTCGGGGGAAGTGGAGGCTCAAGGCCTATCACCAGAAAGTTGCACTCATGAGAGACTGGAGAAGAATACAAGACACAGCTCACTCTGTGACCCGTGACAGACTAACAAGAGTGTAAAACAGTGAACATTGTCACTAAAAACAGCAGGTCTGACTGATCCACACAAGATCTGCCCAGTAAGAAGGTGCCTCATTAAAAAAAATAAAATAAAAAAAATATCACTTTTAGGAGCAACACTACACTTTGCTACCATAAAGCAAAGCTCTCGTGAGTCTGGAAATGCCAATATTAAAGCTGTATGTGTCATGTCACAACCGTAAAGAATCACACAAAGCTATTTTCTTATTTTAAGAAAGTTCCTGTTCAGCATTAGAAGAAACAGGATTAGCACTAAAACCTCTCTGTGCATCACTAAATAGCTTCTGCCCAGAAGCTTCTGCAATTCCACTTCTTGCTACAAATTTAAAGAAGCAGGACACACATCCTTACAGCACATCTGACCTTAACTCTGCTTATAGGCTGTCTACACTCGTGACTTCTTGCGCGAGTAATACGCAAATGAGGCTAAGTGTGGAATATCGCCGAGCCTCGTTTGCATATCTACTGAGCCACCATTTTTTTCAGAGGAGGCTCTTGAGCAAGAAGGAGCATCTACACTGCCCCTTCTTGCGCAAGAAAAACCCTCCTGCGCAATGCCATTATACCTATTACTTTTCAGGAAGAACAGCATTGCACAAGAGGGTTTTTCTTATGCAAGAAAGGGAAGTGTAGATGCTCCTTCTTGTGCAAGAGCCTCTTCTGAAAAAAATGGTGGCTCCTTAGGTATGCAAATAAGGCTCAGCAATATTCCACGCTTAGCCTCATTTGCATATTACTCGCACAAGAAGCCGCGAGTGTAGACATAGCCCCAGTGTGGGTGAAGCTCAGTCATATGAACTAAACCCTGTGTCAGAAAATGCATGCAACAAATGGCATTTGGAAAATCCAAATCAAGAGGCAAAATCCTGGCTGGGAGGATGTAGTTGGGGTTGGTCCTGTTTTGAGCAGGGAGTTGGACTCGATGACCTCCTTAGGTCCTTTCCAACCTTAATCTTCTGAGTTCTTCTGCAGCCAGAATATTCCAAAGAGTTTAAGCCTGGCCCCTTTCACCAATGCTAAATTCACTTCAAAGCAAATCAACCTAACATTGTTAGGCAGGGATTCCAAATGAGGTTCAACTCCCTCCTTTCCCAGTTAATCCCAAGCCTGCTTGGCTACTTCCCCATCCAAGTAAGGCTTAGGAAAGCAACCAGTGCAGCCTAATTGGTTTCCTGCCATGACAGACATATGAGGGGACCCGCTAAAGAGCCCCTGAGATAACCTTCCCCACAGAGATTTGTTTTGGAGAGACAGAACGAATGTGGCAGAAAAAACATTAGTGCAACCTGGAGATCTCCTGATAGGAGAAGGCTCTTCTCTTGCAATGATGATATCGCGGGTGCTGGGTCATTTCAGCAGGGCCCAGCCTAGTCCTCATATTTATTTTTTCCTTTTTAAATTTAGTTTTACTCCGGTGATTAGTTGCTCATAATAAAACCAGGAGAGGCAGACACAAGTAACAGGGACAAACGTTTAGGTGAGAAAGCAAGAAGCGTTTCCTGAGACAAATCACCCTCTGAATTGCTCTTGGCCTGAGACAGAAACACCATTTGGGATATTTTGTTAGGGGACTGGCTGGCTTAGGAAGTTGACCACGCATCACAGGTTGCCACAATTGACTTA